TTAAAAATTTAAAATAGAACTTAGAAAGGTAATTTTACAATTTCATTTTAACCGTGAGTCTGTACAGTTTATGAATTTGTGAAACTGTGAGTTATGTAATTAGTTACATCTATAAAAATGTAACATCTAAAAAAATGTAAAATCTAAAAGTTAAAAGTGTAAAAATACAATAGGTAAAAAAAATATTTTTTTTGGGAAAAAATCACGCGTTACAAAAAGTGCACGCTGTGGCGTGGCGCACCTCAAGACGTCATGGCGTGAGCCACGCCTTACAGAAACGCTATGGACCATTTCGTAACGGGGGAGGTGCGTCTTGTGCCATATTGCGCCATGCCTTTTTGAACACTGAGTGGGATGAWTTTGAGCGTCTTAGTAAACTCTAGGATTATGATACAAATTTCATAGTCCTATAAAATGGATTAATTAACACTAAAAAGTATCGTAATAAACTATAATATATGAGCTTTATGTTGTCACGAAATGTTTACATTTAAAAACAAACATGTGTGTCCCAAAAAATGGTTTTACATGACGAAATTCGATATCGCTAAAACATTTATATCGTATATGTGTCTTATAAGTTTATAATCATAAAACAAATTCTAGAGTACTATAAAATGAACTAAGTAACACTAAAAGAGTGTCCTAATAGACTATAATAAGTAACACAAAAGCGTCCTAAAAGACTATAATATGGGAAGCCTTCATCCCTTTATAAAATCCTGCTATAATATTACATTTAAAAACATATATGAAAGTTTTACAAATTGATTTGATAGAACAAAATTCGGTGTTGTACAAATACATATATGAGTACCAATTACCGAGCTATGTATCCACCACAAAGTTGTATCATGACAAAACTAAGTACAGAACAAGAATTACGCAAATATAGAAAATCTTATTGTCCCCTATGAATGAGAGATATTTATCTTGGTCATGCACCGGCTATAATCAAATAACATATATATTAGCTTAAAGTTATATAATAAAAAGAACTCTATACTTATTAAATCTCACGAGTTTTAAAAGATTAACATATCCAAGTTCTTGAGAAACTTTTGTCATTTCGAGTCACTTTAATAGTTGTTTCTTGGCTTCCTAGACAAAAAATGCTCTAAGAATTTACAAGAAAGGAAGAACTAGAAGCATTTTCTCCATTCTTGATCGATTTCGTATCCTGAATACCATCAA